CCAATACCTGAGAGGCTTTAGCTACATTATGACCGGGTTGATTGGGTTTGGCTGCTCTTGCAAGAGTCTCGGCACGTTTTTGGATCGACAAAACAGCACGATCAATGGCTAACGACTCAGTTTGAATTTCATGTACTCTATCCCTAAGCATACCAGTAACTTCTAATGGACCACCCTTCTTCCTTGCATCCTCAGATATTTTTGAAAAGGAACTCACATCGTTTACCAAATGAGTCACCACACATTTTGGCAAAGGAAAACAATCTAAAGCAACAAAAGTATCAGGTACAGCCTGAATTAAATATCGAAGCATCTCAACAAGAGCAGTAGTGGTATAAGCCCAGCGAGAATTATCAACAAGATCGGCACCACCAGGAGAAGATTCTCTGATGGAACGAACAGCTATTCCCACCAGAGTGCGCACATAGGTCTGAGATAATACAACAGTTTCTATAAAACCATATATGATGGGCAATAGCAACTGCAGAACACTGAGCAATTCCTTTTCCTGGAACGTGATTTCAAATGTTAAAACCCAAAAGAAAAAATATGTCGTATGGAAACAAATTCTAGGTAACAATGTTTCTGTTATATCTAAGAAATCGAAATACAGGAAAGGAATACAGCAGCAATACCTGCAGTTGATTAAGAAACCAATCAATAACAAGAGGAGGAGTAAGCAGTCCTTCAGCATGTTGCCACTGAATAATCCGCACCACATAACACCATTTGAAGTACGGAGAAGGTTCCTTGCCATCAGTGACAGCTGAAAATTGATCACCTTTTTGCAGCATTGAACCAGCATAAACCATTTGTGATGACCGGTCATAAGGAAGAAAACTTGAACGAGAATTGTTTCTTGCAACAAATTCATCCAAGAGATACTGCAAGTAATCAATAATATCTTTTGTCCACAGCTCTGACCGCGAAAACTGAGTTTTGTCGTGTCTGGATGAGCCTGGGCGAACCTGCACGATTAAACCATAATCCGCTATATATTGAGAATGCCCAACAGTTGAGAAAAGCATTGTAGTTGTTTTCTTGAAAACAGATCTATACCTGATTAAGATAGGTTACTTTGATAAACCACGTTGCTCTCAATAACGGAACATTGTTTCTGATTAGAACTTCGAAAAGAGATTTCCTCCGGTAACCGTGAGGAGCATGGTCGGCCAATGAACGTAATCTTTTATGTTGTTGTGATAAACCCTGAATAGAAGCACAAATATGACATAATAATCTGATACAGGGGAAAAGAAATATATATAAAAGTATCTCCATACATGTCAAATTTCTATTCCCCATTTGGGGATGGGACAGGTATTAAGTACTTCTAAGATCTAAGTTCACATCAACCCATGGGTAACACATCAAATGAGGTTTGCGTACCAGAAAATCAGAGTATCCCGCAAACTGATATGGAAAGGATTTGTCATTTTTATCTTATTCTTTTAAGAAAATTCAGGGAGAGATGTCCATCAGGTTGCTCGGCACGCCTCTTTCCTGGTTCAATTAGGGAAACTGTCTTAACCCACAAACATAAAGAACAGTCACCCATTAAAACTTCTAACTATATCCCCAAGTAGCCATGTCCATCGGGTTGTCTTCAGCGACTTTTCCTGCATCTAAGAATCGCTCTCCAATCTCTCCAACACGAGGTTTTCTCATTGTGCTGGCACATTCTTCTCACTGTGCTGGCACATTCCATAATCTGACCATACTGAAACATCAAATGCCACGATCCACGTGTTTTGCATATTAATGTCAAGCTGTGAATTACATTTTGATACTCCTTCCAATAATTAGCGAGAATTTTTAGCTCATTTCGTGGAATCGTAAGTCCACCAGGTACTTGGTTTTAATGAAAAATCTACGGCAGCCAATATAAATCAAACAAAATATAAAATAAAATAAATATTCCACGTCTGATCAATGATAGCATGTCTCCTTCAGTTCGCATTAAAATTAGAAAACCCAAAGAAACAGAAGTCTCCAACATATTAAATGAATGTTCCTTGTTAAATTAAATTGTACATTCACAAACGTGTAACAAATAAGTGGAACATGCTTGATCATTTAATAAACGAATAATGCCAAGTCTTACAGCAAATTCACTAAGCTTAAAAAATAAATAAATAAATAAGAATAAGAAAACAAACCTCAAGCCATTTCTTTCTGGAGTCTTCCCCGCAAGGTCTTTGTTCAGGGAAGATGCCAGGCTCGGTTAACAGTGTATCAGAAAGGGGAACTCCATAAACTTGACCAGCCTGCCACATTAATAATATTCATTCAAACTCAATTTCTATCAAGCTGGTTTAGCAATATGAAGATGAAAATAAATGCATGTTGGGTTGTAGGAAAAACCGCTCCATTTACAATTCTGGAAAATAAGATGTAAGAAACATAAATGATTTTCCTCATATGAAATGGAGAGTGGAAGAAATGAAACACCTTGCGCTTTTGAGCACGAGACTCGTTTATGGCTCTGTGACGTTTTTTAATTGCCTGGAAAAGTGATTTGAGTTAACAGCCATATAATGGGGCATATTTTCCACAAGCTAAAGTCAACTTACAAGTCATTGCAACTTAAGACAAAAAAGATAAAATCCCATCCATTTCGTACTTATCACATACCTCTTTGCAATTGACAATGATAGGTTTTGTGAAAGCCTGAACTTGAGATAATGAAATCTCTCTAGCTTCCTGATTTTAAGACCAAGATGGAAAGGAAATATTTTATAACTAGAAGTATTAAAAATGAAATTAAAAAATATATATATTACACAAAAATTGATAAGATTCCTATTAGACTACCTCAAGTCCTTCAACCGTCTCCCTGTAACCAGATTGCACATATTCCCTGGTAAGTGTCTCTTCAGGACAATTAGAAGTCTGTGCGTGAAGGTCAGGTGGCCCAAGTCTGTAAATGAGTAATACCAATTAAAGGTGGCATAAAAGCAATATTACGATCAAATGAAACCAATTTAAGGGTTGGGAAAATAAATCACCAAGAATTTAGGCTTTTAAATTTTTGTCCCAAACGAGTATGCAAAAGAAACACAGCAATTTGTCAATAAAATATAAAAACTATAGGTTAACATCAATTACCGGGAATTCAACGATTCTCTATCACACCTCAACTTATATGTTGTCAGTTGTGTTGACCGCCTGCAAGAATGAGTTAACACACTGCTTAACGGTGAAATAACGAAAACAGTCTAGTTATGACTTTACACCTAGTACTTAGTGGGAAAGGGGGGAGAAACCAATAGGCACAAGGGAGAAGGGGGAGGGGAGAATGAGAAGAGGAGGAATGAGACAGAAGCTGAGAAATAGTGAAAGGTATCAGACATATTTCAGAATAAACAAAAATATCCTTGTAATGACCAAAAAAAAAAGTGCACGAGTATGCACAAAATATTGCAAATAGAGCCATTCAATATTACAGTTTATGTATATCATTATTATCATAATTCAGAAAAACAACATCCACAGCGAAAGGTATTCCAATTGTCAACCTTAATTATTAGAAATATAAATGAATTTATTCTGTAAATCATTGCTGTAAAAAGTAATAATACTTAACTAGTTTCCTAACTTATAACAAGAATGTAGTAAATTAACATCGTCCACAAATATTTTGGACACAAAGGTATCCTACAAGTTCATTGCACTAAGGCAAATTAATAACTACATTCAAGTTAAGGTAGTGATCTTTGAATATGAGTCGTCGATGGGTTTGGAAAATCTTGCTGGCAGCTAGGGGTGTCATGATGGTGGTTAAGGTATCAGGAGAATAGGAGGCACTTGGAGATTTTGGTGTGGCTGTGTTGATCATATACACGTTCTCATGTCAGTTTGGATATAAGTGAGAGTGACAGACACACACAACAGAGGGAATGAATATCACCTATAACTGAACGAAAAGAACGTTTCAGACACCCGCAAGTAAGGTCAATGGTCATGAGATATCGCAACGCAAACGACAATTCAAAGTCCTGATTTTCTTTTCTACTTTTTGTGGTCACTTTGCATTACCCACTTCAACATCAAATTTAATAAGCGGCAACGTCCTGAGACCTTGAAATTTAAGCACTCTTGTTTAAAGGTTTCCAAGTCTGATTTCATATTCTCCAAATATGGTTATAAGCCACATGAATCTCATCCTGATAAGGCTTTGCCTTTCTCGTGGTAAAATTGCTTTTGAGGAAAAAAGAGAGAGTTTTTAATATGAAGACAAAGGAAATGCTTAAGAATAAAAACAAACTAAGCCCCTGCTTGATTCCGCTAAAAAGTTTATTAAAATCTAAGTCAAAGTCAACTATAAATTTTAACCACACATTTTATGGGATCCACAACTTTTTAACCAAGCATTTCATCAAATTTTATCAAAATCTACTAAAAATCTGAATTTAAACCAAGGGTAGCTTGAATTTAAGTACTAGCACTATTTTAATACTCAAATAGACATATCATAACACAATGAAGAAATCTTGGCGAGATAAATATAACTCTTAAAACTCCGTGGCCAAACCAAACAAAGTGACAATTGTTCAACCAATGTGGCACATTGTGAACCCACTACAAACACAACAGCACTTGCACATGCATGTAAAAAGAACCGTGGTGTATGAAGAGTATTAGACTCGCTACCTCGAGTTTAGAGAGAAGTTGGGTGGTGGCAGAACAGCAGATGACTCAGCCCGGGATGTATCCCTTGCAGGTATCCCACCAATTGAACCGTTATTAACTGCACTATTGCAGCCACCAGCATGATACCTTTGCATCTCTCCGAACTATTACCTGCATGCTGCCTCCAGCATCGATCCACAATAAAATAAATGCAAGTCAATCTGTGGTGATAGTTTTGTTGGAAATTGCCACAACCTAAAGCAACCGGCAGCAAATGGTGATAGAATTTAGCATATCTAACAGTAATAAGAAAACTGCCCATGAGGCATCACAATCATAGACCATGTTTAAACTATATAAATTCTTCGTCACAAGTACTCATAAATCATATCATATAGTGGATGTAAAAAATACTGTTCACTTATAAAAGTCGGTGCTAGCATCCCAAGCATGACAAAAAACTTAAGAAAGCTCATGTTTCTACAACCGAATTTGACACAATAATCATGTATAGATTTCAAAATAATAGTATACTGTAGAGATGGACATTTAGACTGAAGAACAGTGAACTGGCATGTGATGATTATTTATTAATGCTATAGACTTCATGTTGCCACTACCATACACTCATTGAGAATTAAACTTAAATTGGCAACAAATTCAAGCAGCACAAAAAAATAATAATAATAATAATAATAAAAGTCAAATTACTGCATTCTCAAAAATTAAGCTTCAATTGGAAACAAATTCAAACAAAAGAAGGGGGGGGGGGGGGGGGGGGATGTATTTCTTCCCCAACACCTTATTTCCATTGTATTTATCAAGCGGAACCTTAACTCCATTCACCAACTCCAACAATGCATCTAACTGAAACCTTCTATTTCGGGACCAATCACTCAAATACCTCCTAAAAGTCAACCACAGGCGATAAAACTCTGGCGACCGGAGCTGTACGGAAATGCCTCTAGCTGGCTTCATTCTCACATCAATATTATACTTCTTAGATGACAAAAAGGATCTCTGGCGACCACGCCTTCGAAAATTCCCCTCTAATAACTCCTCAATCTCTTGCTTCAACTGTGATTCACCAATATCAATCGAAGCATATTTCAAAAGAGTCGCGTTAAACACTGGCTTTTCCGGGCTTTTAAAAAGTGGGGCGTCATATTTCAGCTGGATAGACCCATAATGGAGTATAACCCGGACGGTGAGAGTAGTTGCCACCATTATGAGTAGCAGGATGCTGTATAGTGGGCGCAGAGCGCGCTTCATTGAAGAGTACATAAATGGGTTATCAAAATCACAATGATCTGAACTTTCGTTTAAACTATTTGCTAAAAAATGTAGCAAATTATGTGCAAGAATTTGGACGAAATAAGCAGAGATCTAATCTGATTCATGATCAATACGAAACTGATTCGAATATATATATAAGCATTTCAAATGAATGAGTTTTAATTCAAGAATCTGACCTGTAACAACGTAGGATCTTCTACAATTATATAAATTCTTGTAGAAACAAAATGGGTTTTAAATAAACTAGAGGGATCTGAGCTAAAAGAGATGAGAAAGAGAGTGAAGCGTGGGATTGGGGGTAGACCTAAAGAAGAGAAAGTAATGAACTGGGGGAATAAAATCTAAAATCTAGATAAAACTTGGATCAACGATTACTTATAGATGGTAAAAAATGTTAATTTAAGCAAAGAATTATAGATGGTAAAGTTTGTGTTTAGACTCTGTTGGAAGTCTGCGGCCATTGAAATGGACATTGATGGCTGGCTGGATCTGCAGGTCTTTATTGAAGGGGAAATATCAACGTACTATCCAATCTATACTTGGTTCTGTGTGGCCAATTTTTCGGGGCATTATTATAAATGACCTGCTACTATTTATTTTTGATAAAATGTCTATTATATCCTTAATGAAATAATTTATCATATATTGCATAAGATATTCTTAATTTATTGGGATAGTTTTAAATTCCTCTATTTCTCTCATTTCGAGTTTTAATATATAATTTCATCCTTTGATCTAATAAATTAGCATAATCTGTAATATAATTGTCATGTAATTTACTAAGATTATCAAATTCCTTCGATAAAATATCCATAATCTCTAATTGAGAATAAATATTTTCTATTTTTTCCATTAATCTATCTAACAGATTATCTAATCCTTTAATTGTATAACCTGGCATTATTCAAATAATTCCTTGCAAACTTTATGAATAATAACATATTTAGATAAGTTTTTTGCAAACATGAACAATAATAATCCCTACAATTCTTTCAAGATATTAGAAGAATTCTTTCTAAATTTAACAAAGACAATAATTTTACCTTACTTTTGATCTTAAATCTGTATTCTTAGAACCGAGTGACCTTCAGGCTCTGAATCTGCAAACTGCTCCCTCAAACGGTCTTTTGCCTCAATGGGAATTATGTTACTTCAGTTTCTTGCCCTCACTGTATCTTTTCTTAGAATTAAGAATAAAGATCTTAAGTAAAGAAAATTCTCTCTTTGTTAAAGTAAGAAAGAGATTATCTTCTTCAATCTATCAAGAATCTATG